AGCAGTGGTTCTCAACCTGTGGGTCGGGACCCCATTTGGGGTCGATCAACCATTTCACGGGGGTCGCCAAGCAAGGCTGTCCGCCATTTTTTTGTCCGCCATTTTTTTTCCCTTTTCCGGTGGGTGCCTTACCTCCCTTGGGCTGGGCCAGCTGGTGGTCGGCCTGCTCCGTCTCTGCCGCTTGCCAGCTACGCCTCGGCCGGCGCAGGGGGCGGAACCACACATGTGCGGCGCTCCCGGGCAGGGAAAGTCCTCGACTTACGACCGGCTGGGTAGTCCTCGACTTACGACCGGTTTAGTCCTCGACTTACGACCGGTTGGGGTCGCGGCATTAAAAAGGTTGAGAACCACTGACCTAGAGCCATTTTTAAAATCTGCCATAGGCTAATAAATGGGTTATTGATCCTTACATAAGTTTTGGCTGCTGTAAATAACTACATTTATATCCCTACTTTTAGGATGTTGTTTGCTCTCCGCAAGTATTTGTATATTCATGCAGCAATTTTATTACAATATAGAGTAAGCAGGACTTTCTGGATAGTGAGAATGCCATAGTTCAATTGATCTTTATGATTATTTTCATTATTTTAATTTTGGATAACAGTGTTCCATATATTTATCTTATTTGCTGTTTTAAACAGCTAAATAATCCATTGGAATATGATTTCACTTTTTCTCATATACTGTATCAAATATTGTCAAGAGTTTCTCACATGGAAGGGATTAATTCATAGCTTTAAGCTAGTGAAAGTCTAATCATGGTAGAGTAGAGTAGAATAGAATAGAATAGAATAGAATAGAATAGAATAGAATAGAATAGAATAGAATAGAATAGAATAGAATAGAATTCTTTATTGGCCAAATGACACACAAGGAATTTGTCTCTGGTGCAAAAGTTCTCAGTGTACATACGAGTAATATGATAGATATTGTGATCATAAACAATATCATCAGGTGTGGTCAGCCATGCCTATCCACACCTGTAAGTGGATCATAAGCTTTCTAATAGACATGATGATGATGATAGATATTGCTTGTGAAGGGAGAGCATATAATCTCTATGCACATCTTCCTAGTCTATGTCCCTGGAGGCTAGGACAACTACTGTAAAGTGGGGGTTGAGATTTTTCTACTTTGAACTATAGCATAAAGTTTGATTCCCATTTCATGGACTTTGGCCTTAGTTCATGAACCCTAGTTCATATGAATTAAAAGTTCTTCTTTCTCAGTAACTATGTCAGTTGATTTGCCCAAATGTATGCTTGAGTTGTTTGTTCTTATGAAATCTTTGGCTTCAGAGAGACAGAAAGTGTTGAAAGTTGGCACAAGTACTGGGAACTAATTAAAGGAAAATGGGACTTTTGTTCTGGAATTATATCACATTGATATACTTGAATTTTGGAAAAGATCAGAAAGATCTTTTAGAAAGAATAGGCCTTGACTGGATTTTTTAAATAAAGATAATCATTGGAAGAAAAGCTCTTTGAGGTGTTGTCACTCAAATAGCAGGAATCAGGCAGGGTATTATCCTAAGGCTTTTGAGAATATTAAAGTAGCACATTCAGTAGTTTCCCTTTTTTTGAAGGAGTGTTTTCATAAACAAGGCTTATGTTGATGGCTCCTTATAAATATAGTCCTAAAGAACTGTAGTATAATCTGACTCTAGAAAAGCTATACGGTGGTTTGTTCCATGTAGATTGTCTTCTTGGAGATATTAAATTTATGCAGTTAGATGCTCTCAGGAAAACGTTTTTTTACACATCCAGAGTCTCCAACCCACTTTTGGTCAAGGAGACAAGAGGGCATGCCAAGTCAGATGACTACTTCACAAGATCATGGAGGCATAAGACCCATTACACATGGACCTGAAATCCATTGATAACAACCTAAAACAGCTGGCCTAGCTTTATTTATATAGCTTATGGCATAGAGTACATGGTTAATAGTAAAAATATATAAAAGGAGCACATAATACAGTGGTACATGTATGATGGAATATGCAGTCAGTTTTGTAAGGCATAAGGAATTCGAGAAGTTATATATGAGTTGTAGGTTACATTTTGAAATACATTGGTTCATGAGAATAGAATAAGTGTTCTATATATTAATATCTAGACCATTTATTCAATTAATAAGAAAGAGGGACCAGCACCAAATTGTTCATCCTCCTTCTTCTAAAACAACCAATTCAGTGTAGATGATTTACTCCTAAATTAACTTCATTGCCCTCTTCACTTTCTCCCATCTGTCTCTTTCCAATTCCTACTTTCACTCCTGATTTTCAGGAGTCCAACCAACAAATCTAGACTAGCATAAAAATAATCCTCTTCTCTCTTCACTGACAACCAAAGTGGTAAACCTGTTAGTAGTGAGATAATCCTTCATACTGAGGAGCTCCACAGCTGTATTGTTGTCTCAGTTCCAGACTGAAAATATATTTGCTTTTTCTGAATTGCAATTTCTAATTCTGTAAGTTTGGGAAAAAGCAGAGAGCTATTTATCAATAGGCATTTTTCCACTGCTGTGTAGCCTTTGAAAGTTTCATTGTCAACCCTATTATCTTTGTCCTCATGATTGGAAATGTAGTAAAAACTGAAACTGACATACTGAGATTTGCCAGATAATAAAGTTGTTACAGTTCTTGTCATTGGGGATTTCTGGGGATTCATGGGATTTAATGGAAGACATAGTGCAAAAGCAGTTATTTTGATTTTTTTTTTCTGTTTTATTAAATCAAATAGTATCTAAATAAGCAAGCTCCTTTCAGTTTTGCCACATTTCTTAGAAAAAGCTAGCAAGAATTATATACTGCTAAACAAAACAAGGTTGTATTAACCTCCTTCCCCTGTCCATGCTCCTGGCTGCAGATTTATTTATTTTTCCTGTACTGAAGATTGCAACCTAAGCTTGCTCTCATTCCATATGTTTTCAAACTGTTTTCTTGAATTAGCATAACTTTATATGGCTATTTCTAAGTTTCTCCTCAGAAATAAAGGAGAGCTGAATATACTGGCAGCAATCTTTGTCACTCAGACTAGTATAGGTTTTCTCTCTCATTTCTGGCTAGCAGAACGTCTTCATATTCTGTCATGTTCAATCCCAGGAGGAACATCTGTGAAGGACAAACAAGATTGCATCTTTGACATTAGTCAGCTTTCCTTCCCTGTGTCTAACAACCCATTCCCTTTTCTCTCATTCAGTAGCTCAAAAGGGCTGAATCCCGTGAACGCCTATGATGCTTCCTCTTTATCTTCAGTGAGTCGTCTTCTCGCCCAACAATTTTCTTCAGCAAACTACTCTGGAGTTGCCCTTGTATCAATTAGTCTTCAATAGTACCTTATAACTCAGTCCAATATGGGTTAACTAGCCACATTACTGTATAACAGTAACAAATCTTCAATAGGTAACACTGCCTAGATCCATTTTAGGTCCTGCCAGCCATTTATAACCCCTCTATCAAACTTCTCCTTCCAGTCCTTCTCAGAGTTCTTTCTGATGTTCTTAATATTCCTCTTTCTCTTATGGGAACATTTTCCTATGAGAAACTAAGCTATCTGTCCTACTCGTAACTTCCTCATAATCATGTTAATGAAAACAAAGTGGTTTTTTGGGTGTCTGTATGTTGAATAGCCAGCAAGAAGCCATGATTAAATGCAGAGTGTGACAGACGTACACCTGTATATCGCACAACAGTTTTATCCTTGAGAATTAAGCTCCATGTAATCTAATCTTACAAAGCTCCAGGAGAGCTCATTTTGATGTAGAGTAGTTCACTATATTGACCAGAACACCTTATCTGGTCACCTTTCTTCTTTTGATAGTTGATGTTACTGTGACATTTGGCGGTGTCCCTCCAATTTCTCTTTTTGCCCATTCAGAATTATGGTTTAATTATATCATTGGCAAGTTCTGGAATGGAGAAAACGTTTTCTTTTGTAACTTTAAAAACAAAATCAGGGTAACTATTTGGACTGAATTGTGTATATTGAGTTGAAATGGGTTTTTCACATTTTACATGATATATTACTTAAGTATTAATCTAGATAGATTTTCCTATGCTCTTATCATGAATTAACTGTGCTGGAGAAGTTACATGAACCCAGAAAGGTGATCTAATATAATATTTTTTTTATTAAGAGTGACCTATGATTAAAAACTACTTTGGGCTTACTGTAATAACAGTACTACAAGCAAATTTTGCATATCTTACAAAAAAAAATATAAGATTTACATTCAAATAATTCCTATGTACAGAAAAGTTAGTATGGTAGTAAACCTACCCATATACTGATCATAATACCAATTGTCATTCTTTTCTTTTGAGGTTTCTGAAATTAAACAGCCAGTTCTGATATCTTAACTGGTTATTTAAAACATCTTCAAGAAAGGAGATACCCATGAACCTTGAACTCTATGTATGATTTTTAGGAAATATCTGCTAAATGGTTTCAGCATCTCTTCAATAACAACAGTCAACATTTAAAATCTGAAACATTTTAAACTAATATTTTCAGTGCATTTATTATTAATGTGTTGAATATACTCAGTAATATTTATGGAAATTTATTCATGTTTCCTGCTCATCAACTACTTTTAGTTGAAACATAAAATGAACTAATGCATTTTCTTCAAATTATTTTGAGTGATGATCAAGTTAGAAAAGTTTCATCTATAAAAAAAACCCCAATTTAACAAGGAGGGGGAAATGCCATACATTTTAATAAATGTACATTTCCAGCTTTAAACTATTACATGATTTTATATCTGATATTTAAACTCAGTTACATTATTCTGTGGGAGCCTTTATTACATATTTGTAAACATTTGATGAATATTAACATTTAAGAGGGAGACTTAAGCTCTAGCATTCTTTAGAGGGGAAAAAGACATTTACACTAATGAATTAAAATCAAATATTGTGCTCATTACTGGTTGATCATTACTCCATCTGCTCAGTGCTAACGTGAAAATCAATTACTGTGTTTCTTTCCCACTGACAGCGTATGTTGATCGGACTGGCAAGAGATCTTCGAGGGATTGCCTTTGCTCTGAACACAAAGACCAGCTACACCATGCTGTTTGACTGGATGTATCCTTATTACACTATGACAATACCAGTTCTGTGCACAGAGGGATACCACGTCCTTTGCATTCGTTTAATAGCATGGCACAGTGGGGAAGAGGAAACAAAGCTAAACGAACTAATATGTAATCAGCTAAAATTACAGTACAGTTGCACTCATGCCATTAACTGGGAAGGCAACATTTGGAGAGAGACCACAAAAAGGTCACTTTTTTTGGGTGGGGGGTTGCACCACACTTAATCCCTAAATGTTCTCCTGCCCTTTTGAAACCCTGCAGCGCTTTAATAATTCTATAGCCCTTTAATTTACGATGTGATATGTCTCTGCTTAGTTAAAAGTATGTATAAGTTATCCCGTTGTACACTTAATTTTCCTATACTTATTGCAGGAATCATATTTAGATGCATTGATTTCATTTCATTTGATGCTATGCCGTCTCATATTACATCGTAAATGATTTAGGCTAGCAAAACTTTCAGATTTTGATTGTGTTCTCTGTTTTATTTTAATAGAAGGCAAAAATTGATTTATATCCTATCAATGGATTATTACTTGTGATTGGATTATCGCTTTTCTATTTAAGAGCCAAAAGTAACAATTTGTGTAACTTGATTACTAATGTTAGTTAGTGCAGAGGTCCCCAACCTTTTGAGCACCAGGGACCGGTTCCATGGAGAGAGGTTTTTCCGCGGACCGGAGGGTGCGTGGTTTTGTGTGCTGCCTGCATCTCACAGATAAGGCTTTGCTTGTTTGTGCGGATTGGTTGCTGGCATGCTGCGGCCCGGTACTGGTCCACGGACCGGGGATTGGGGACCCCTGAGTTAGTGCATATGATTTTCAAGAAAAAAGTAGCCATATATCTCCTCAGAATCTTCTAATTGGTCTCCCTTAATGAAATCAACAGAGCTTGTGTTAGGGTTCATCCAGTTGGACCTCACATTTACTGAGAACTTCAAAGAGTAGTTTAGACAGGGCAGTGTTCCATTTTGACTTTGTTTGAAATCACCTCAAACAATATTTGATTTTCATTCTAACTTGTATAAAAACTCTTTAAAATAAGGTCTCCTTTCTTACTACTAAGATATTTTAAAGCTATTACAAAAGCTAAATTTTAAAAACAAATATATAAACAAAAATTAAAATAATATAGAGCAATTATTTTACAGCAAAATTAATACAAAACAGTAAAAGATGCACAAGTCTCCAGCTGTTCTGCTAAACGGCTTTCTTTCTATAAGCTACCTCAGTTGAATAAATGTTTATAAGAAACTAAAACACTCTTAGAAACACTTGATCTCCTTTGAATTTTCAGTTTGGATAAACAGCTTTGAATGTGATTTTTGTCCACTAGATGGCAAAAATGAGTAGAATCCATAATATTTCTTAGTTGATCTTTGACCTGGGAATCATTATATATATGGAGATGTTCTCTTTTAATGTTTAGAAGTATATAGCTGAGCAAGAAGAACATTAACGTTATCCTGCAAAATGGAATTGTTTGTAGCAGGCTTGCTTATACTAATTGGGTTTCCATAACAAATCAGACTCCTTGGAAAAAGGCCAAAGGCTTTTCATAATTGTATTGACAAGAAAATGAATATGATAAATGGTGTTCATTCAGTTGAGAAAAGATTTATAGTTTCTCCCCCTGGGCAAAGGATGAAGAGCAAATATGTGTAATAATAAAAAAAAATCTGTTACAAAGTTGTAACAAATTTGATCTCTCATAAAGCTTTATTAAAATATCTCAAAATATGTTAAAGGCATTTCTGATAGTAAGCTATAGATTCGGCTTGGTGTATTCCTCTATGAAAAGGAAAATAAGGATGAAGAATTAAAAATATAAATATGAAAGTCATACATTTCTCCTGAAATATTGATATGTCAAACTGTCTGACTCAGGGGTTCCAGTTCAGAAGTTGATTTGTCTTGGTTAGTCAATAGGGTATATTGGCTGTATAGAGCATGCCTAAACATATAGAAGCAGTATTTTTTTTTTAATAAAAATATGTGCCTCAGAACCTAAAAAATTATAATGCAGTGACTGAAATATTTTTCCATAGTTTTATAGTTCCATATTTCATTTAATAAGTTGTACATCTTTTGAGGCTTTAGTTAAATTTAAATGCTTTGCTACAAACAATTCAGTTTCTTAATTTCTGAAAGTTCAAGCAACACGTAGCCAACATAGCAGAATAAGGCTCAAACATCCATTTACAAAAGCACTGTAATCGGTGGAATTGGTAAAACTTACTTCTAATTACCGGTAGAAGAATATAACCTGTCAGTCCCTTGACTCTTTTCTACTACTCGCTACAATTTTCCACGTATGAAAACATAAATATTTCATTCAAACAGCTTCTTTCTCTTTATTTCTATTACTATATAGCCTTTCTAAATGTTCAGGAAGCTTTAGGTAAGATGCAGGTTTTGCTGTAGTCACTTCAGAGCAAATTCTGCTTTACTGTATTTCAGAGAGCTATAGAATAATAGGTAGATCACATAATGGTAACTCATAGTTTGTTTTTTGCTTAGTGTACTGTGTGGACCCACACATTGTGGCTTGGCATTATATTGTTGTTTTTAAATCCTGGCTTAACCATAGATTTTTAAACTCAACCAAGCTCTGTAGACATGCTTGATTCAATGTGAGATTCAAACAAATCGAGTGCATTTTGTTCCTGGAATTGCAAACGTCCCTTCTCTGTCTGTGCAAGGCTGCATCACAAGAATTTGTTAGAAGACTGCTCCCCTTGGAGTTCAGTTCCTCACTTTGTTTCATAGAATTAGAAGGTACCTGAGAGGTCATCCAGTCCAACCCCTGCATAATGCAGGATTCACTATATCATCCCCAATAGATGACTATCCAGTCCCCATTTGGAAACCTCCAGTGAAAGGGAAGAAATCATTCTGTGTGGTATTCTATTCCACTAATCGATAGTTCTTACTGTCAAGTAGTTCTTCTTAATGTTTAATTTGTATCTTTGACATTCCATCCCATTAATTCTAGTCTTGCTGTCTGGAACAAATCTCCAGCCCTCTGCAGTATGACAGCCTTTCAGATATTTGAGGACAACTAATATGTCCATTCTCAACCTTCTCAAGCTAAACCTACCTAGGTCTTTTAACCATTCCTCATAGGACTTGGTTTCCGATCCTTTCATCATCTTGTTAGCTCTTGCTTCAGTTTATCCATGTCTTTTTTCAGCTGAGGTGTGCAGAACTGAACGCAATACTCCAAGTGAGGCCTGACCAAGGTAGAATAGAGCAGGATGATATTTCCCATGATCTGAATTCTTTGCTCCTCTCAGTGTTTCTAAATATGCCATTGGCCGTGTTTACTGAGAGAGCCCTCTGGTTCCTGTATCAAAGGAACGATCTTTAGCATTGATTGGTTGTGAATGGCAAGCAGTATGCTGATGGTTTTAACATTAACAGTTATAGGAACATTTCTTTTGTAGACTTCTGTCATATGATGCAAGGGTGTAGAAAGTATTTTTCTCTTAAATTTTCTTCATAAAACTTGATGACATGATGGGACGGTGTACTTTGGTGAAAGTTAGTTAGACTCTATGAATAACATGTAACTTTCAGATCCAAGAGCAAATTTTTAAAAAAAAATTAAAGTAAAACTGAATATTTTACTGTAAGAATTTAATGGATATGCAACTAAAGGTCTTTCAGTGTATATTAGGTCTTTATATTATTAGTATTTTGGCTTTGCTTTAGTAAAAAGTTACAAAAACTAAAGAAAAGACCGCAATTTTAACCATGTTTTTAATAAGCTTTTAAGTTGTACATGATGCACGTCATTTATTTTGAATCTTTAACATAACTTATAAAAGCTACCCATCATATCTGCCCATTCTTCAAACAGCTGTTGAACTGTGGTATCGTGAACCAGCATGTACAACTCCAATCTTGAAGCTTATGGCTGAGATGATGCAAAACAGGTACAGTTGTTCCCATTTCATTGGCTTGATAGTTCTCTCACCTACGTCATCAACTGCAGGATTTGCCTCAAAATAAAATTTTGTATTACTAGAAACCATATTTGTGGAGATTTTGTACAATCAAACTAATGTTGAAAAGCTGCACTTACAGCTATATATTCATAGACCTTTTAAGCTACTTAATGTAGCACAGTCCTATGCAAATTCATTCAGATTAAGTTTGAAGAAATTTAAATCAGATCTGTGATTTTATCTGTATTTTTCTGATTTTTTTTCTGTTCTAACTCACTGCAACAAAATGGTGGAGATAAATTACCTTGTTGGTCTCCTTGCAAATAATGCTTTCTCTTGACTACCATGAATATAGAATACTGGCTGGGGGATTCTGGCTGACCAGGGAATTCTGAGAGCTGATGTCCGTCCATCTTAAAATTGCCAAGGTTGAGAAACACTGATATAGAGTGATTTGGTATAGAAAGCCAATCATGATTGCCTGATTTCCTTGATAGACATCCACACACAATGGATACACCCTTTAAGAAAGGGAGCCTAGTCTACTTTAGTTCTGAGAAAGTATTCCATTATTAGAAAACAATGGACAATTTACTGCATAATTCCTACAGAAATATTGGCCACAGTTATCCTACCTTCGTGTGAGTAACAGTCATTTTTCCTTCTTTGAACTTGAATAATAGAACTTTTCAATTATCGTCCTACACTTTTTAATGTGTCACATAATGGTTAGGCTGAGAGGGCACCATTTAGAATAACTGAATTTGCACTCAAAATATTGTTGTAAACTAAATGTGTATTTCCAAATATATTTGATTTTTTTTTTAAAGGAGAAAGTTCTACATTTAAATGGTTGAACTAATTGTCACAAACAGATGAGCAATCATAGTCAAAATTGAAAACAGTTTTTCAGTATTCTAAGTCAACTCAGTCTAAACATTCAGTGAATATGTTTTATATATGACACATCTTAAATGAATACCAGGTGATTGGATGACTTTAATTTTGGGTGATTTTAACATTGACCTATATTAAGCCTCTCTAAACAGGCTTTTAAACGGAGGTTTTATAATAATAATATAGCTTTAAAGGAAAAAGGTACAAGAGAAACCTTTACAAATCCAAGCAATTCTAAACAAGACAAAGAGGTATTAGATTAAGTCTCCAAAGGAAGGAAAGCTCATTGAAATACTTTGCATATTCATTATATTAATTTACCTATTGGTATTCAGAAAGTCTATATTGTTCCCATTAGACATCATCATTGGGGATGGGTTTGCTTTTTCTTGAGTTGTGTACAGCATTAAGTTTTACAGGTTAAAATGCATAGTACAATACACTTTGACATGGTGGAAAAATGTTACAGAGCATTAAATTGTGCAATATGATAAAATGGAGTTGCTTCCATTATTTATATCTGCCAGATGTTACTCTTTTGTACTTTGTAGAATAGAAAGTATTATAAAGCATTCCTTATGCGTCACAAAATCCTAGCCTCTGTTAAGAAATTCAGAATTTCTGGAATTTTAAGAACATTTCTCTAATTTGTCCATCTAAAACAATAAGACATTTTGTTGCATTTTTTCATTTAGGAAATGTCTGAAATACGGTAGCAAGAGAACACAACACACGGACAGTAGGCACTGCCTACTTTGACTTTGAAACAAGTTTATTTCTTCCTAATAGTTTCTTTTGCAACCAGTCTATTTGCATTACAACATACTTTTTAAAAACCTAACAGTCTAAATTTAATTACTTTCTTAGAAAATGAATTTTGATTATTAACATTAGTTTGGTCTAGTGTGGTTAAAGTGCTGGCCTAAGAACCAGGAGATGGTGAATTCTTGACCCATCTTAGCCATGAATGCCAGCTGAATGACTTTGGGCTAGTCTCTCTCTTTTCGCCCAGCCTACCTCACAGGGTTGTTGTGGGGAAAATAGGAGAACAAAGGAGCATTAGGATGTTATCTGCCTTGAGTTATTTATAAAAAAAATAAAGGCAGGATAAAAATTTTATTTTATGACTGGTCTATTCCAGAATGAAACCATAATAGTTAAATATTTGCTTAGTTATTTATATTGAGTTGTGTCTTAAGAGTAATATTCTTAAAGTTTGAGTTTCTGCTCCTGATATCATTTGCCATTCTCATTGCTTATGGTGTGACACCTATATATGTTTCTTCTTTATCCTCAGATCCTGAACAAGCTTTTAATCCTTCCTTCAAAATCTTGTGTACTTTCTCTCCCCTGCGCATATCTCTGTACTTGTATATTTTGAGGCATCACCTGATATCTCTAGCTCTACTATCCTTAACTGTCCTGCTCCCTGAAGCAATCTTATACATGCTTCTTCTTTTGATTTCCCAAAATGCCACAGCTCCTTCACTTCCTTCAAATCAATTCAGAACTCATCTGTTCCATGAATGCTTTCAAAGCTTCATCACCAAAGGAAGATGGTGTTATTTCTGTTCTCTGTACCTAAATAACAACATCATCTTTCTTTATTCATCACTATCTCTGTTCTGTCCCCATTCATGTTATTTATTTTGTCACTTTTTCCTAGGTGGTAAGTCCTTGAGATCCACATCTTTATTTGCTTGTTTGCTTATCTATATATGGCATTGTATATAAAAGACAACTTTTTCTCACTTTGTCAAGGCGATTGTTTCTAATTCATTTTGCCATGATATCCAAGCAGGAAATCTAACTGTATTACTTGCTAAGCTTCACAATCAATCTTGTGGAGCTAATTTATATATTAAGGTTGATATGAAACATTTTTCCTGTCTTGTGGGAAGTTCATATTGTCTTTATTTTCATCAGTCAGCACCCACTTCAAACATATTTATTTTTAGACTTAAAGGAGCTGTATCTTCCCTGGAGTCCAAATGTATGCTGGTAACGGTTTTCTGGGTACATGAAGGTTGAGTAATCAGACTCAGATTTAGTTCAAGAAGGATCAACATTTAGGCTTAGAGGTTATGAGGCTCTCTTTTTGAAGCTTGTACACTTCCTCAAACATAATTAAGGAGACTGCATCTCTATGAAGTAACTTTTAATGTATTAAAAAAATATCACATTTATATGATGCTGACATAAGGGTGATATTTGCTAATTAAACTATTTAACATTTACTTATTCAATTTATATTGAATTGATGTAATGATTCCCCCATTCATTCCCATCAGTGAACGAGTACAGAATAGCATGACTACTAGTCTTGTTTCCAGTTACATATATTTGAGAGAAAATCTGGAACATATGCATTTATTCCTTCACACCTACAAAAGTTCTGATTAGAAAGTGTTTTGATTGCCCAGAGAATCTATAGATAAACAGCTTGATGCACATTCTATCGAAGTTGTGAGTGGTTGGGCCCAACAGTTACGCTAATATTGAGGATAAAAATGTTGAATATTCTTACTTTGGATGATGAATAAACCTTAGATTTAGGCTTAATTTGAATAGGTATTTGTAGAATAATGAAAATTACTGTCATTCGAGCAGCTGTATTTTTATGTCTAAATCATACTGCTTGCTTTTGTATATAAATTATGATACTTTATACTCAATGTAATACATATGATTACATGTTTTTGAAAGATTTGAAGTGCATTTTTAGAGAACGGGCAAAAAGCTTAGATTCAGGATTATTCTTATTTATTCTAATAATCTATTAAAAAAAGATCAGAGAGACATGATGGAGATTTATTATAGCGTGAGGACATTAATTAGTGCTTTGGTGAACTTTTCAAGACATTTAAAGAGCTAAATCCATAGTAGCAAGATAATGCATAGACAGATAGAAAGTATTTTGTTGATTCTAATTGTCTTTGTTTCTAGATGCCCCATTCTCTTGTCCTCTTCCTTCCCCTCCCTTTCCCATCCCAATCATTTCCTTCACATAATACACAAATTGCATGCTTTGTCCATGTGTTGTGAGTAAATGATTGACTGGAAAAATGATTATGCTAGGCAAGATAAAGAAAAGCTTAAAAGACAAGACAATAGATAAGCTGGATAGAGAGTATCAAAGAAATTATTGGGATGTTTTGGGAAGAGCTACTTGTTACTACATGAGGCTAGATGAAATGACAAGCATTTGTCCATACAATCAAGTTTAACTCAAAACATACCTATTATTTTGCTTCTATGATGCCTCACTGGTTATTTTTGTCATACTTTTTTCTGTTTAGGATTATTTTCTCTGCTTCTGCTAACCATACAACCTCACCAAGCTTGTTGAAATCTAAATAGCTCCATTTTGGTTATATAGCTCTCATAATTCAGGAGTTGAATTACTATTGATACACATTCTAAGTGCTTGTTTCATCAGTTTATATAAAGATATGTTGCTACTTTTTTCCTCAGATCTCAGCGTTTAAATTTTGATGTGTCATCTCCTAATGGAATTCTCCTCTTCAGGGAAGCTAGTAAGATGATTTGCACTTACGGTGAGTTACATATATATTTTTGTACACTTAATAAGAAAAAGCACTTCCTTCTAATTAAACAGGACCTGACTTTTAAAAAATACTTGCATTCATGGATCCAGTTGTGAGAATTTATGGTATAGGATGTCAGTGGACAGCAGATCACTTTGGGCAGAAGGTGAAATGCATTCCTGAAGAGCAATCATTATTCTCTATAACATTACAGTTGATTGATTGATGCTATACTTATCAATTTGAAAGCCACCCAGAAATATAGCAAAGTTTTCTACATACATACACATTTGTACGTACATTAAAAGAAAAAGGATAATTTAAGGAGAGAGGAGAATTAGAAAGGAGGTTGAAACAAAAACCTCTTTTTCCCATGTTATTTCATCTTTCAGCAGAATACAAAATGAGATATTTCAAAGGAAGAGTTCTGGGGGGAAAAAAAGAATCTTAAAGGAATATTTCTCCTACACGTGAACCCAAAAACATTGGTAGAAGTTGCATGAGGAATGAGAATAGCTTGAAATATTTTGTGGTAGTTGCATTTAGATTAATTATTGTAAGAAAGCACGTAGTTTCATGTAAGTTAGGCTAAGAGATTAATTGTGGCATAAGACTTCTTAAATTAAAATTAACTTCATCAAATCTACGCACATTAAAATTAGCAGATTTACTGTAATTATTTCTAGGAAATACAGTAATAGTTCAGATAAGGTGTAGATCTACTTCATAGATTTGTAGAATAAGAATCTTAGAGTTGGAAGGAGCTCATTTAGGCCAGGGCTTTTCAACCTTTTCACCCATTGTACCACTTTTAGGATATGGCAATATCCGAGTACCACCAGTTGCCTAGCAAGGTATCAAAAACTTGATGACAAAAAAAAGGAAAAAAGTGATAAAGTACAGGTAGTCCTCGACTTACAACAGTTCGCTTAGTGACTGTTCAAAGTTACAATGGCACTGAAAAAAGTGCCCCCCAAGCCATAGCCGAGCAAGACACCTGCCTGCCCCCGCCCGGCAGCGCTCTTCCTCCTGTCCGAGGTTTTCATTGTTGTGAGCATTTCTGTTGAGGATTGGCAGCGGGGGTGGGGTGGGGGTGTTTGGTTTTTATTCCCCCCCGTCTGCTGGGTGTTTGCAGCAGGTTTTGGTCACTTCACATGACCCTGGGACACTGTGACCGTCATAAATATGAATCAGTTGCCAAGCATCTGAATGTAAATCACAAGACCCTTGAGATGCTGCAACCTTCCAGCTGATTGGTGGTGCTTCAGCTGGAGCCTGGCACTGATCCTGGCGCTTCCGCTGAGCCCTGACAGCCCCGAAGAAGCACCAATCAGCTGGAAAGCGGCACTGATCCTGGTGCTTCCACTGAGCCCTGACAGCCCTGCAGCCGTCTCTTGCTCAGGCTTGTGCGGTGCTGCCACCGGTTCAGCTCATTCCCCTCCCCTGCTACTTCTTTTCTAGGATGGTCGCGTACCACCTGCCAGGTGCCAATGTACCACAGGTGGTACCCGTACCACTGGTTGAAAAGCCCTGATTTAGGCCACTGAGTCCAATCTTCCTGCTCAGTGCAAGAATTTTGAAACATCATTAACAGTTGGCTCTCTAACTTCTGCTTTAACATGTCCAGTGAAGAGAAATCTACCATCATTGAATACTGTAAATTGTTTTTATAAACATTCAATTAAAATCTGTCTTCCCCCAACTAAAATCCATTATGAGTGGTCAAGAACAAGTACTGATCATTTTTCATGTGATATAAATCCAGAATGCTACCATATCCTCCTTCATTTATCTCTTTTCAAGGCTAAAGATTCCTGCTTCCTCTTTATGAAACTGAGCTTCTAATCCCATAATGATCCTAATTGACCTTTTCTGAATAAGTCTAGCTTATTTGAATCCTTCTTAAAATGTGTTGTGCCGAGAACTGGACTCAGTATTCAAAGTGGGATCTAATCAGTACAGGATATACTGCAAATGTATTCTCCTGTGTTACTATTGATGCAAGTTCATTTGCTGGTTTTTTGCAGCCATATCACATTGCTAACTCATGCTCGGTTTGTAATCAACTGCTAATTGAGGATATTTTCCCAGATATTGTCACATCATGTATTCTTCATTTCATATCTGAGCATTTGATTTTTGCTTTGAAGAATTTTGCATTTGTTCGATAAATTTCATTCTGTTACTTTAACTCATTTCTACAATCAATTAGTTTTGAACTTTATTTCTATCTTTAAGAGCATTAACAATCCTACAAATTTAATACACATTTCCTTCACTTTCTTTTCCAAGTCATTGCTGAGACTATTGAAAACTACAGGATCTACAATAGAAATCCATGCCTGCTCTCCACTTTCAGTTTATTGAGAAACTGTTGATGAACACTTTTTGAATATGTGTTTCAAGATGGCAACATATCTGTTAATAGCCATGCCTCCATCCCCTATTAACCAGCTTGCTAAGTAGAATGTTATGTACTAGTTTATCAGTTGTTGTGCTATATCAAGGGTATATTACATTTGCAGATTATATATAGTATAATCTATTAAAGAAGTTAACCAATCAAAAAAGGAGATAACATTAGTCTGGAAAAACTTGTTCTTGACTAATTCATGTTAATCTGGTATTTTGCAACAGTATTTCAACGTGCTTAGATCACTTTGTGATTCACTATAGTATCCAGATACTGATATCAGATTAACTGGCTTGTAGCTGAATCCATCTTTCCCTTTTCTTTAATGACAGAGGCAGTATTTGTCCTTTGGTCATCTCACAGTTCATTTAATCTCCAGGAGCTCCCAAGGAAAGAATATGTGTTTTTGTTCAAACATCTATTATTTTCCTTGATATCTTAGGATGCAGTATATGTCCTGTTTCCTGGCAGTGTTCAATCAGTCTCAAGGTCCAACTCTGTCCATTTATCCTTTTTTTCCTACTTATTAGGTGAAATATATATTCTTGTAGAGAAGATTGATTCAAATTAGAAATTCAGCTTTTTTTCCTCTGTGTTCAGGTTTATATTGTTTTTTATGTGCAGCTACAGTATATTGACTGCTTCTGTTGTTTTCCTCTCCTGCCCCTGCTCCAGGTTGTTGCAGTTGTGTTATTATTGTCTTCTTTTTTAGGAATTACCACTCATTTTGAACTTTTCTATCCATTAACATCCATTCACTGCAGGATTGTAGGATCCTACAGATTTCTCTGAATTTTTTTCAATCCACTTTGTTGAAGTCCACTACATTTAGTTCTGTAATAATAATTCCAGCACTTACATGCTAATTTTCCTTCCAAGCTTTCTCCACTTCGTTGTTTAAGCCTTCTCTGTTGGATAGGGATAGTATTGTCCCCTTACTTTTCACCCAAATTTCAGTTAATCAGTAAATACAAGTTCATTAATTTAGATTTCAGAGTTAATATGAAGTCTTTTCAAATACGGTGTAGTTCTACCTCTATTTCTATTTCTTAGGTTCCCTTTATTTCAAAAATGTGCCCTTCAACTCCTATTTTAAAACCATCCCTTTAGCTCTGCCATCCTGTCTGCTAAACCTTTTTTGTCTTTTTGTACTATGAGATTAAGGTTATGCTGTCTATTTCCCGTACTGTGTACATTATTTACAGACAACAAAAGCCATGGAGTTACAAGCCAGTGCTCTTTCTCATTTTTCATGGAGAAGTTTAATAGGCACCATTACAAGAACCTTCCCACTGGGTAAATCCATTCACATGCCAGTATGAGGTTCAGCAACTTAGACAGAGGTGCCACTGTCTTAAATACTGCACAACAATAGCATGCCTAATTGGTCCTTGAGCCTGACTACATAAACAGGGCCTCATATTTAGTCCTTTGTGAAACACTATTCTTATAGGCCACAATACAACCCCTTTTGTCTCATGTTAAAGCTCTGGGAAAAACATCAAGTGAAAAATCTTGTAACCTTGTTAACCAGTCCCATTTAGCAGGCTAGCTGCCCTGCTGAGACGTAACAGAAGTTTCTTCTGTTTTCAGAGACAGGCAGATAGCAATAGCACTTAGACTTATATACCGCTTCACAGTGCTTTATAGTACTCTCTAAGCAGTTTACAGAGTCAGCACATTGCCCCCCAACAATCTGAGTCCTCATTTTACCGACCTTGGAAGGATGGAAGTCTGAGTCAACCTTGAGCCAATGAGAATCGAAGGAATTGAACTCCTGGCAATTTGAACTGAGTTAGCCTGGATTATTGCATTCTAACCACTGCGTCACTATGGCTCATATCAGATCAACATACAATGCATTATAGTGGTTCAAATCAGAGGTTATCACTAGATGAGTAACTTATAAAGCCGAAATATATTGCAGTACAGTGCTGTGACAGATTTCTGTCTGTGTAGTGGACAGTTGCACACATTTCTGTGCATAATACTATCTCCAAGGAGAGTAAGGTGAATTTCTTTTTTATGGTGTACTGGGGCATCTTTCCCTATGTTGAACAAAAAATGATACAACAATGGTCAGCCTAGATCAGTGATGGTGAACATTTTAGAGACCGAGTGCCCAAACTACAACCCAAAACCCACTTATGTATTGTCAAGTGCCGGGTGGGCATGGCTTCGGTGATAACAGCAGACTGGGTGGGACTAAAATGTTCAATCAATCAATTCCAACTTTGCGAGATCTTTTTTTTTCCCGCAAGAAGTTGAAATTGATTGATTGATTGAACCTTTTTTTTTTTTTTTTGCACACGGCGGTGGAGGCCTAAAGCGAAAAGGTTTTATAAAATCTAGCTGAAGGCCTAGGACTGAGGCAACGGCGCGCGTGCCCACAGAGAGGGCTCTGCGTGCCACCTGTGGCACGCGTGCCATAGGTTCTCCACCACGGGCCTAGATCTTTAGGGGGAAAAAACAGGTTGATTTCATAAAGATAAAAGAATGTAGATTGACAAAGTCTGAACTTCAAATAAAAAAAACTGCAAGTTGGCATTGGCTACCCTTCTACACATTTATATCTGTGGTGAAAATGAGTACTTCT